GATAGAAAACTGGGCAAGCTTCTTGCCAGCATCATAAACTACCTTTAATTTTTAAAGACAGTAAAATTGGGTGAAATATATTAATATTTTTAAAATATTTTTGTGTGTGTCCGCATTAAATATCTTAGAGAACGTGGAATTTAAGATTATTATTAGAGTTTTATGTTCTCTTCCACTTAGCTAAGGAAAGTTTTGTTTATTATGGGAAAAGTGGGAATGGCCTGGCATGCTCGCCCACTCGTCATCTAAACTGCTTTTTCCTCAGTAGGGTCACAGGGAGCAGTCATCGGGCGAGAGGTGGGTGAGACAGGGCCACATGGGAGACACTACAAGTCACTCAGTCACTCCTAGAGACAATTTTGAGTCTCCAGTTAGCTTAACATGCATGGCATTGACCCGTGGGAGAAAGCCCACACCTCCCTGGGGAGAAGATGCTAACTTTGCGCAGGACGGTCACAGCCGGGATTCAAACCTACAACCTTCTTGCTGCAAAGCAGAGGTGGTACCAGCTGCAGCGGATGTCTGGTATAGTTAAATATAAAAATAAAATTCCAGATATCTATGATTAAAGCATCAGGCAAGAATAAGTTATTGAGCTCAAGCTTAGTGATGACATTATAGAAATCCAAACATGGCGACCGTGAGATGACCATCTCACAGACAACCTGATGGACAGGCAGCTACACTGACATACAGAACACTAAGTAGAGGCGAGGAAAACCTTCCATGTGAGGGGCAGTGATGATAGACAGAGAGGAAAGCAGGAAGTTAATGACTAGATTAGAGGCCAATCACATAACCAGTCACCCACGACAACACGCTGGCCATACTCTGCATCTACCTGCTTTGCTGTACTGCATTTGGTAGTAGAGGGGCAGAGCGTAGCAGCGATGGGATTTGAAAGGCGTTACGCTTGGGCGACTTGCTGATTTGCATTCAACAGTAAAGACACACAAGCACATACACCAGGAAGTCTTAAAGCATGTGCATTTCAAAATACAAAATAAATTAAAAAATAAACAACAGTACTGTTTAAACACCCGCATACATGCAGCAATGTAAACGCGTGTATAGATATTTTCTACTAATTATTCATTTCTTGCATATTCAAGTATGTGTGAAAGAGGAGAGCTGATTGGAGAGGGGATGAGGAAATAAGAGGGATTAGAGGCTGGAGGGAAACACTCACCCCTCTCTAAACCCTCTTCCCTCTCCTATTTTTTCCCCTCTGGCATGTTATTTTTCGCTTTACGATTCCGATAATGATGATATTAGAGAGAAGAAGAGGGGGAGGAGGAAGGAGAGGAGAAAGTGATGGGCGCCGCATGCAATTGTTCACCCCGTCTTTCCTCTTATTATTATTATATTTTTTTCACTGCCACACATCGCACAGAGGGAGCTACAAAGTAAAAGAGAAAGACTAGCAGATGGGTGGGGGCTCAGTGACTAATTTTCCTTTCTTTTACAGCGGCATAAATTTAATAGGGGGGGGGGGGGGTTGTGGGGTAGAGTAGAAATCCTTTTAGCGCTCTGATTTATGTATGTCTGATGGCTGAATCATAGATCACCGCCGGAAGATGGCAGACACACTGATGATGATGGGGCCCTTCGACAGGCCCCACTAATGCCCTGCTGAACAAAATGTAACCAATCTGTGGGGGCCCTCAAGCATGCAATGATTCTCTAATAGAAACTATAGAAAAACTATATGCTTGTCACCCACGACTGGAAAGGGGGAGTTGCAGCTTAGAGTGCGTGTTGAGAGATGGAAGAAAAGAAACCAAAAAATGAGGCAAAAGCAGGATAAGTTTCAAATTACTGGTTAGAATGGCCAGAGAAAAGTCTATAAATAGAACTGAAAAATGGAGATCAAAAGCTAAATGCAGTCATGAAGAGAAAGGAACCAGAGGCGAGATGGATCAACAGGCAGAGAAACAAACACTAGAAAACAGAGACAAAAAGGATGACCGAGTTAAAGGGTAAAGCAAATGTCAGATTGAAATGAAAACCAAATAAAAAACTCAGCAAAGGAGTAAACAATAGACAACAGGTAAACAACTGAAGTGTTCACATTAAATCACCCAATCATACAGATGCATGCAAGCCTGATTCACAGTGCAGAGCATGTAGCCCCACCAATCATCCTTATATCAAAACATCATTATGCTGGATGACAGCAGCTAAGGTTCCAGCAAGGCCCCGTCGTCATAAATCGTCAGCTGTTGCAGCCCTGGAAAGAGAGCCTTTTCATTTAGAAATGTCAAAGCTCTCCTGAGCCTCATTGTGGAGATGGTTGTGGACTCTGAAGATGGGGGGGGACTGAATACGGCAGGTCTGGTTAGTCAGAGTCAGATGCTGAAATCATCTCGGCTCAACACGTGTAGGTGTGTAACATGTTGATTCAGGTTTTGCTTTCAGACTAAAATGTTGAGGAGGAGTCTATCTCCTATAAATTAGTTAAGTTTTTGGTGTCTGTTTGACTTTAGGTGCTCCACAAATTAGCTTTTTGATATGTTACTTGAGTCTTCTCCCATTGTGCAGATTTATGTAAAACTACAGTAAAAAAAAAAAAAAAAACAGGTCAGGCTAAAAAACTTACGACATGAGTGGTGGGTCCTACTGAAGATTTTTCTGATTTACTGTTTACCTTTCTCTCAGGTTCCAGGTTGCAACCTTTTGAAGCAGTCATGTCAAAAATGAATATTTTCTTGAAAAAACTTGAGTGTCCACAGGGTTCAAAGATTTATAGTATGGAAAAAAGTGCAAGAAAGCATCGTTGTTTATGTCTTTTACAGCTCCAATAAGTAAGACTTATTGGAGCTGTAAAAGACAATAAGAGCCCATTGGTGAGCAGTGAAATAATCAGCCTAATGTGTCAATCATGTTGGAAGGTTACATGGAAACAGATTTTGTTCTTACCCTGCTGGGTGAGGCCTGAAGAGGGACATATTCATTATTTAACATAAGTGGGCCCAAGAGTCGCCAAGTCTGTACCAGCATTTGTAGTCAGCTCCAGTTGGCAGAGAGCACCGGCACTGAGGAAAGAATGTGCAAGGAACGACCCAGGAGTTATTTCTTGTACACCTAAGAAGCAACGACATCCATTTGTTTTACTTCGATATAGGATAAAGCATGCTAGACGCTAACGCTGAGCTAATAATGCTAATGCTGAAATTAATAGTTGGCTCTAAAAAGATCTCCTGCTACTTTTTTCATTCACCAACACTTCAACATTATAGTGAAATGTACTTATTTACTTATCAGCTTACTGTGACTCATCTTCGCTCATCATCTAGAATCTTCTGGCACTGAGCTGTAGCTGGCAACCGCCATGAAAGTCACCAAAAGGAGACTGAAGGGTCACTGAGAACTCACTTTATTTTCAGTTGGACTGCAGTAACCAAATTTGACCACAGGGTATCATTCAAACTTCGTGCAGAGGGTGTCCACCGGAAAAGGCAGCAATATGAATAAAAGCTTTGTTAAAGACTTTTTGAATCTTGATACTTACGCAATTACCCTTGGGTTTTTTCTACCAAGGAAACTTGGTAAACAGAAAAGCAGCACACAGAAGAAGACAAATAGAGCTCGGTTTCAGAATCAGAAGTGTTTACTGCCATATTAGGAAATTGCTGCTGAACTGGTGAGAGAGTGAGGATTCTGTTCATCTTGGGTACAGAATGAGGAACGTTTCTTTTTTTAAGAGGTTAGTCAGTGCATTTGCGTCTAAGTTAATCTAGGTCGAGTAATAAACTAGGAGCCTTTATCCTAGTTTATATGTGGAAAACCAAACTCTAAATTGAACTTCATTCCACAGAAAGTAGGTGGCTACATGCACTTTTTCATGTCGGCATTCTTCCAGTTAGCTTATGATAGCAACACAGACGGTAAACAAACTGGGAAGCGAAGGACACAAAGTTAAAAGGGGATGTGCACAATGGCTGAAAGAATGGACAACAATGCTGCAGCACAGTTTATTTGGTACGTACTGTACTGTTTGATGGTGTTACACATTGTGGAAATGATCTTATCACTTCTGGAAGTTACCAGTATCAGTTCGAATAAGCCGTTTACATGTGGATGCAGTCATTTTTCTACTGCATTATCTGGGTGCTTCAGCACGATCAGAACCAGTTTACCTTCTGTAACACTAGCGCGTTTACATGCATTTAAAAAAACCATGTCAGTCTATTCAGGGCAATAGTTTGGTTTTCTGATTTGCATGTAAACACACTGAGTGTTGATTTAAGATGGCACCAAGGTATGGGGAACCGGGAGAGAGATGAGTATGCAGGTGAATTTTTGAACAACAATAGGGTGCAGTCAAGTTGATTTTCTTTAAGTTTATGTTAAGTTCATTAATCTTTTCTATGCTTTTATCCAAAGTTACTTAAACATTACACATTATAGATGTTTTAGGCCTTTGAGTGGAATCCAGAACAGCCAGAGAATGTCCATGCATGTATGAAGACAATTTGCAAACTCTGATCAGAAAGGGCACAACCAGGTTTCAAACCTGCAACCTTCTTGCCGAAAGGCTACAGTAATACCAACTATACAACCATGCAGCTTATTTTGAGAATGATTATCAAAAAAGACCCCTTATGAAGAAAAATATACATGGAAACAGTGTTCCCTTGCCTGGATGCGGGTCAACAGAGCCCCCCTCTGGAGCCAGGCCTGGAGGTTGGGCACATTGGTGAGCTCCTGGTGGCCTGGCTTTCACCCGTGGAGCCCTGCTGGGCACAGTCCGAAGAGGGAACGTGGCTCTCTCTTCCCATGGGCTCACCACTCGTGGGAGGGGCCGAAGGTGTCAGGTGTAGTGAGTGACTGGTAGTTCTAGGGATGCACCGATACCACTTTTTTTGAAAACGAGTACGAGTACTTGCATTTCAGTACTTACCGATACCGATACCGAGTACTTAATAAAATCATGATTTAAAATGACAGGTAACAGCTTTAGTCGTATAATTTAACAAAAAAAAACAAGGCACTAGTTTGGAATTAAGAACATTTATTTAAAATGAAAACTGCTGCATCTTTTATGCAACATATTAAGGAATAAATAATTACAAAAAAAAGGTAAACATTGTAACTCAAGTATTTTTTTCAGTTTGTTGTAAACTCTGCCGCTTTGGACAACACAAGAGGCATTAATAAACATCTTTGCTATTTAGTGCACAATATCCGAATAAACTAACAACATCCACTAACATGGGACTCTGGCAGTCAGTGCAACTGAGGAAGGTATTAAAATAAACTCTAAGACGTCTCACTTAATGGAGCCTATTTAGAAAAAGTGAGTGGCAGTTTTTTTTAAGAAAAGTAGCTTTTCTGCATTATCAGCAGTCAGCCTGTTTCTGTTTTCATCTATAATGTGTGACACAGAGCTAAAGAGCCTTTCACTTTCCACACTGCTACATGGAGCTGAGAGGTATTTACGGGCCATTTTAGCCAAAGTGGGAAACCTGATTTTGTTGACACCCCAGTACTTCAGAGGACTGTCTTCACGAGGGCTTGGGGCCTCTCCGAGGTATGTGTCAAGCTCAATGGCAGCTCCTGCTGCCAGCGGCTGTGTGTCAGAGTCCAAGCCCCCAGGCCGGGCTCTCCCAGCTGACCGGCTCCCGTCTTGGACCACATTACCCAGCATGCCCCTCGCGGGGATTCCCTCCACGTTGCACCTGCGTCAATCCATGTCTATATATGGAAGACGCTACACCGGCTCTTCACTCAGTCATTGTTCCACCGTGATCCATGATCAGAGTATTCGGAAGCTAATACAGCTTAACCTCCACCTTTCCTACTCAGACCTCATCCAACCTTCAGCCTTTCCAGCACCGCTTTCAGTCAGCAGTCTGTAATAAAAGCTCTTACTCCCGAACCCAGTCTTCGAGTCTGACACTGTGCTGCTTGGGCCTGCTCCATGGCGATTTCTTCAAAGACAGTGTCCAGACTGCTGCTAGTGCTGGCCTGGGCCTTGAGGAACAGTTTAGCAGGAGGTTCTGCAGCTTTTGCCCGACTACCCTCTGACTCAGCTCTGGACATCATCTGCAGCTCCTGCTTCAGGTGCAGCTTGGCCTCTGAGGCAGTGTTGGTGGCGAAGAAGCGATCTTTATACCTGAACAAAATTAAAGAATTTATTAATATGTGGAAAAATAGGAGATTTTAGTTTCCCCTAAACCACTGTCACAAATGCCAGCTATGTGGCTTTCTGGGGGTAATATAGGAAAATATAGACTTACCTTGGGTCAAGTATGGTGGAGATGAAGTACAGTGGGTTGGTCTCCACGCCACTGAAGCGCTTCTTGACAGCTGTCAGTAAGGTTGCTTTCATTGTCTTGACACCGTGGTCCTCGTCGGTGTTTCTGTTTAGAAGTCTCACAAGCACAGTCACAGCTGGGATGACATCAGAGGCTAGTGCATCGTAGCTGCTCACTTTTTTAGTTAGTTCCTCAAAGGGGGCGAGTACGGCAACAATCTTTTCAATAAGAGCCCATTGGTGAGCGGTGAGACAGTCAGGGAGTTCATGCTCGGACACATACACCCCCAGCACTCGCTTTTGCTCAATGAGGGACTGAAGCATGTAATACGTGCTGTTCCAGCGCGTCTGTACGTCCTGCTGCAGTCTCTTTATTGGCTGGTTCAGCTGTCCCTGAATGTCCTCGAGGCGGGAGTAGGCTAAGGCGGAATGCTTAAAATGCCCAACTATTTTTCGCCCCACTGCTATAGCATCAGCTATGCTCCTCTGTGCTAATAAGCCCTCGTGAACAGCCAGCTGGAGCGTGTGCGTGACACACGGCAGACTTGGGAGCCCTGCGTCATTCATGGCTTTAATCGTGTTTTTGGCATTGCCATGAAGCACAACGTGTACTGATGTTTTAGGTATACCCCATGTCTGGAGCATTTCCTCAAACACATGCGCTATAGCCTGGCTGGTGTGCGAGCCGCGGAGTTGTTTCGCATGTAATATGGCTCGTTGTGGTGTGAAACTCGTCTATCCACTGGGAAGTTAGGCTAATTAGCAACACTGGGCTAACACTGCTGGTCCAAATACCCATGGTGAAACAAAACTCAGAGGAGGCTTGCAGTCGGCTTTGGATATGTTTTTTCACAGAGTCGTGTAATTTGGGCAGCTCTGTGTCAGTCATGTAGCGGCGGCTTGGGGCATCATATCTGGGCTCCAGAACGTGGAGGAGACACAGGAATCCCACATTTTCTACCTCCGAGAGTGGCTGGTCACTCAGTGCAATGTACTCCATAATAGCTTGTGTTATTTTCACAGCACATGGATTGTCTTTGGACATTTTCTCTCGTCTTGCAAGAGTTTGCTGCAGCGTGGGTTGTGTTGGTTTAGCATCGGTAAACTCTTTGTACTCGTTGTCGTGTTTGGATTTTAGGTGCTTTATTAAATTACTTGTGTTTAATGCGCTACCTTTTGCGCCTCCTCTGGACAATTTCGCTGAGCACAATTTGCAGTCCGCCTTTGTTTTGTTGTCTTCATCCACTTTGAAATAGTTCCACACTGCTGACATGTTGTTTATCCCGTGTCTCACCTCGCCTTCTCCCTGCTCTGAGCTACAGCTGGGACCCTGGGGGCGGGCGCTCGGCACCTGTGATTAACCCCTTACTCGCTGCTCAAACATAGACATTTCTCAGACCGTGGTATCGGTCCCTGGCATCGTGGGACTTTTAAAGAGTACGAATACTTTTGAAAATGTGGTATCGAGGCCGATACCGCATCCCTAGCTGGTACCGGTCCAAAGCACTGACAAAGTGAGGGGAGGGAGTGTCTTTGCGCCCAGTTTGCTCCATTTGTGCGAGCACCAGGACAGCAGATAACCTGATGAGCTGCATGACGGATTGCTTATTTAGATTTTACACACGTCATGACCGGGAATCACTGAGCGGGCCAGTTTAACGGCCAGGCCACTGGGAAATCTCCCGTTTCCCCAACCCCACCCCCACCCCGGTGCGTGTTCCGGCATCTGTTTTGCCTTTAGTGAACTTTGGTTTGACGTCAGTATTTGCGTTCTGGGAACGTTTGATTTACAAACCAAGCACTGTCCAGAACCCCTCTTGGTTTAACCCCTCAATCCAACTCTATTACCACAGCACTCTGTTTGTTAGGCCAATCACAGCAATATGTTGGTGGGCGGGATGTTACTGAAAAAACAAAGATGGCGATAGCTCGTTTGAAACTATTTTGGCCTCAACTTTTGACTATTTAGACTTGGGCTTTTATTTGAGTCAAGATCAGATAGAGTTACTTAAGTTTATTTAGAAAAAGGATGTATTTGCATCTTCTTTGTTGGAGTATGGTGGACTGCCTCGGTGATTGACATCAGTAACTTTTAAACCCTCACAGGCAAAAAAAAAATGCTTTTTTCATTAAAACAATTGAAAAAATATGCATTTTATGGGCAGCAGTTTCATACTCTTCCTTAAATAGTCTATTGGAGAGACAGTTTAGGTAAAAACTGCTGTATTTCTCAAGCTGTTCATCACGTTTATCATTAAATCACTAAAAATGAAAGCTGACATTCTGCAATTCCCAGTTACTGTGTCATTTGACATCACCAAAAGGAGGACTGTGGATAAAAAAGGAGCAAAAATACTTATGTACGTGTGCATTTGTGTGAATGTGTGACTAATGTACTGAAGAGCTCTTCACGGATACTGACAAAAAGACAAGTTTGCGTAGCCGGTGCTAGTGTGTCCCTCCAGGGCTTCTGTCCATTCACTGGCAGGGGATATGAACTGAGACAAGATGTCAGAGCAGGAAATGTCAGACCACTGCCAAACCGCTGATCTGCACATCACACACACACACACACACACACACACACACACACACACACACACACACACACACACACACACACACACACACACACACACACACACACACACACACACACACACACACACACACACACACACACACACACAATACCTCATATTTAATGTTGTCACAGATTATGTTTTCACATGCCGGACATGCTATGGACATACACACACAGAAAGCTTTTAAAAAATAAAATCTACCTAATTGATATTATTATTAACTATGATGATGTTAATAAAATATCATCTTAAGATATTTGTCAGTAGGTTGTGGACATGATTTTAAACAATGACATTCCAAACCACAAAATGTGGAAATGAGTTCACAGAGGAGTGAGCACAGCAGCAGTTTGTATCCACTGGCCACTTCCTATGTTTATTTTCTTTGTTGGTGTGTACACATTACAGATGTCTTGAGTAATGCCTCCATCTGTAATCTCTCTCCATCTCTCCCTCTGCTATCCTCGGGACTCAGTTTTCTTTAAGTGTGTCAATTTGGTTCTCCTTGCTCAAGTTCAAACATTTAGCCCCCAAACAACCATTTGTCTCCAACTTACTAGACAGACACACCAAAATAGAAGAAAATACCTCAAGAAACAAAATATAGAAACAGGAAAAATAAACATCTTGTATGTTTGACAGCACTTTTTGCTGCCTGGATAGAGTTCACACACACACACACACACACACACACACACACACACACACACACACACACACACATCATCCCCCGTCTTGTCTGGTTACTGGCTGTGCACTTGCAGTCCCTCTAGGCTGTGTGGGGTCACTATGTGTGTGTGTGTGTGTGTGTATCATAGGGAAAGTGAGGGGGTAGAGGAGTTGGCATTGGGCAAAGTCCCCTCACCCACCAGCGTGCGTGCGCATTCACACACACACACGCACGCACACACACACACACACACACACACACACACACACACACACACACACACACACGCACGCACGCACACACACACACGCGCGCACACACACACACACACACACACACACACACACATACACACACACACACACACACACACACACACACACACACACACACACACACACACACACACACAACCATCTCCTCACAAAGCTTCAGATGATGTGACGTCCAGCTGCATTTACATCACTGTGATGATGAGTGCTCCTGCCAAACGCCCGGCAACCAAAGTCACATCTGTTCCTGTCTCTGTCGCCACGGCAATACTGTCAGAGTCTGCTAGACAACCAACACACGACCCGAGGGCAACAACGGGTGGCACAGAAAAGAATAAGATAAAGGGAGTGAGAGCGCTGGAGAGTCAGTTACAAGTAAAAGCTTTAATAACACGCATGGGGGTCATTAACATTTCTAATTTGGTTTGCTTGAATGCAGCCCAGGAAAAATGTGTTTATTCCTATAAACATAAACATCACAGCTAGAAACTGAGCAGAAATGTGTTTGTCGGTTATCGGTCATGCTTGCACTGAATGTCTTTTTCATGTTTCTTTGCGTAATCATTGCTGATTCATTAATGACACATTCATGATTTTTTTTTTCTTCCGTTCAAGAGAAACATGGAGGTGACGGGTTTTAGTCCTGGGGAATTTTGTAGGTTCAGAAACGGTGAAACAGGAGGATTTTTTGTTTGTTTTGCTTTGGTTTTCCTTTTTAAATTCAAGGTTACTGACAGAAGCAATCATAAAACATTCTATTTTCTTTTCAGAGCCTTTTTAATTTTAGAAAACCAGTTAAATTGATGCCTGAAACAGAGATAATGTGTGAGTATTTACCCTCAAACATTCAGGTGAAGTGAATACTGTCAGGTTGATTGGCCTCTCTAAATTGTCCTTAGATGTGAGTGTGTTGGCTTGGTTGTTAGTCCTGTGTGTTGACCTGTGATGGACTGGAAACCTGTCCAGGGTGTACCCCACCTGTTTGCCCAGAGCCACCAGCCCCCCACAACCCTGCATGGACAAGTGGGTATAGACAGTGGATGGATGGTGTGATGTTAGCTTATTGTGTTTGGGAGACAAACTACTTCCAAGAACTTAATGCAAGATGCCAGGACCCGAGAACTCACATTAAAATAAACTCATCTGCTGTTTATCTTCTTACTGCCATTATTGTTTTTTTCTCTATCAAACTCTAAATATCCTTTCTTCTCCTAACCTTTCCTCCACAACTTTATTTGCATCCTTTTGCCTTTTGTATCTCAGATACACACATTTTACTCCCTCTCCTTTCCTTCCCTGCCTCCATCCCTGTCTATCCTGCCAGGGTGTTTATATTTGCCCGGCCCACGGCTGAGTGTCTAACAAGGTGGAAAAAATTAGGGGTGAAAAGACAGCACTGCTGCCAGCTAGGGCCTCTCTCTCCTTCCTGCTCTCATATTCTGACAGTAGATATATTTCAGCTAATGTACTTCCAACTTCTTCTACTTCAATAAGGTATTGTAAACAAGTGTTATCTGCACCCTAAACAATGCATGAAATAAAAAGACAGGAAATTGTGTCAAAATATTTTAATCCTCTTCTGCGCTGAGATGTTTTATACGTTTTTTTTAAATTATTATTATTTTTTTTTTTTTTGCCTTTTTCCATCAAGCATCATTAGTTCATCCATCCATCCATTTTCGGCCGCTTATCCAGGGCCGGGTTGCGGGGGCAGCAGCCAAAGCAGGGATGCCCAGGCTTCCCTCTCTCCAGCCACTTGGACCAGCTCCTCTGGAGGAATCCTAAGGCGTTCCCTGACCAGCTGTGAGACATAGTCTCTCCAGCGTGTCCTGGGTCTTCCTTTAGGCCTTCTCCCGGTTGGACATGCCCAGAAAACCTCACCAGGGAGGCGTCCAGGAGGCATCCTAACCAGGTGACTGAGCCACCTCAATTGGCTCCTCTCGATGTGGAGGAGCAGCTGGGTTACTCCGAGCCCCTCATGGATGACCAAGCTTATCACCCTATCTCTAAGGGAAAGCCCAGCCACCCTGCGTGGAAAACTTATTTCGGCCGCTTGTACCCGTAATCTCATTCAATTGGTCTCTACCCAAAGCTTGTGAACATAGGTGAGGGTAGGAACGTAGATCGACTGGTAAACCGAGAGCTTTGCCATCTGGCCAGGCTCTCTCTTCACCACGACAGGTACTATGCCTGCATCACTGCAGACACAGCACCAATCTGCCTGTCGACCTCACGTTCCATCTTTCCCTCACTCGTGAACAAGACCCTAAGTTACTTAAACTCCTCCACTTGGGGCAGGACCTTCTTCTTGACCCGGAGAAGGCCTTCTACCCTTTTCCAACTCAAGACCATGGTCTCGAAATTAGAGGAACTGTTTCACATCCAAGCTGCTTCACACTCAGCTGCAAACCGCTCCAGTGAAAGCCGGAAATCATGTTCTGATAAAGCCAACAGGACTGCATCATCTGCAAAAAGCAGAGACCTTGTCCTCGGGCCACAAAAATGGATCCCCTCAACACCTTGGCTGCGCCTTGAAATCCTGTCCATAAAAGTTAAGAACAGAATCACTCAGAAAGGGAAGCTTTGGCCTAGTCCAACTCTCACTGGGATTGAGCTCAACTTACTGCCCACAATGCAGACCAAGCTCTGACATAGGACATACAAGGACCTAACAGCCCGTATCAGAGGGCCTGGTACCCCATACTCCCGAAGTACCCCCCAGAGGGTCCCCCGAGGGTCGCGGCCCAATGACTTCTCCAAATCCACAAAACACATGTAGATTGGTTTGGCTAACTCACATGCACTCTCCAGGACCCTCCTAAGGGTATAGAGCTGGTCCAGTGTTCCATGGCCAGGACCAAAACCACATTGCTCCTCCTGAATACATGGTTCGACAATCCGCTGGACCCTCCTCTTCAGAACCCCAGAATAGACTTAACCAGGGAGGCTCAGTAGTGTAATTCCTCTGTAGTTGGAACACACTCTGCAGCCCCCCTTTTTAAATAGAGGGACCACCACCCTGATCTGCCAGTCCAGTGGAACTGCCCCCGATGTACACGCAATATTGCAGAGCCGTGTAAGCCAACACAGCCCTACAATATCCAAAGCCTTAAGGAACTCTAGGCGGATCTCATCAACCCCTGGGACGTTGCCACAGAGGAGCGTTTGACCCCCTCAGTGATCTCAGCACCAGAGATTGGAAAGCCCAAATCAAAGTCCCTGGACTGTGCTTCCTCACTGGAAGACGTGCTGGTGGGATTGAGGAAGTCTTCGAAGTATTCTGCTCCCCGATCCACAACGTCCCGAGTCGAGGTCAGCAGCACACTGCCCCCACTATAATAGTGTGTGTAGTGCACTGCTTTGCCCTTCTGACGTGCCGGATGGTGGACCAGAATCTCCTAAAAGCTGTACGGAAGTCTTGCTCCATGGTCTCACCAAACTCCTCCCATGCCTGAGTTTTTGCCTCTGTGACCACGTGAGCCGCATTCCGCTTGGCCTGCCGGAACCTTTCAGCTGCCTCTGGAGTCCCACAGGCCAAAAATACCCTATAAGACTCTTTCTTCAGCTTGACGAAATCCCTAACCGTTGGTGTCCACCATCGGGTTCGAGCATTGCCACCATGACAGACACCGACAACTCTGCGGTCGCAGCTCCGGTCGGCCTCCTCGGCAATGGAAGCACAGAAGTCACAGAATAATATAATTAGTCATAATGTGATAATGCATTAGAAAGGGATGTAATGCGCTTGTGTGACCTTCACATAAAATATTTTTCACTTCAAGTTTTTTTTAATACAATAGAGTAAATTTAACTTAAATAAAATACTTCTTAATTTACTAAATTTTTAAGCAAATGAGAAAAATATTACAAATTGTAAAAAATATACATAAAAACAAAAACACACGTTGAAATTTAACCCCTTAACTTTCTAACCGAGAAAAATGTTAGGAGTTTGTTTTATTTTTATTTGCATTTTTGTTAATTTAGAGCAACAAGATCTATAGTACAGTAAATGTATTAGTGATTTAAAATAATATAAATAAAAAGGTAATATTAACAAAATGCCATATTATGAACTTTGTTTAAAAATTTCTGTATTTTCTTTTAGTTTAGTAGCTTTTTTTAGCTCACACAATGTGGCTAAAGATATGAGAACTAAATTGTGTTCAACCAAGTACTTCACTTTTTAAAGAGTTAAAAACCAAAGTTCGGACCTATTGTTAAACAGTAAAGGCCAAAGAAACAATCGCCAGAAACAACAATTCATTCAACTGGCAAAATAAACTGCCAGTTGAATGAATTAAAAACAAGATTTTGTGACTATCAGTCAAGTGGTCACACAGCACACATGGCACTGCGCCATGCCGCTGAGTGCTTCTTGGAAAGTCGTGCGATAGTCACAACATCACGCGAGACTTGAGAACAGGAAGCAGGAAGTGACGCTATTGTTTATACGTGATCAGACTTACCATTGTGTTTTGTGAGACTTTAATTCATAAACAGTGGGTAAGTATGCTATTTTTTTAAATATTTTAAGATAAATAGTACTTTAAAGTTATCAAAACTGCAGATGGGTTTGTGCCGGCAGTTAGGTTTGAGCCTTAAAGCCGTCCACTATTAGAAACCGGCCTTCATTTACCCCCGCTGACAGCGAGACCAGCTAATACAGGAGACCTGGGGCCTCATTTATCAAGCTTGCTTTCGCACAAAATGGGGTCAGAAAACTGCGTAAGCAACTTTCCACGCAAAACAGAATATGGAATGCAGAATATCAGCAGGGGAACAGATTGAACCAAAATATCATGAGTCTGTGACAGTGTGTGTCCTGTCACTGTGACCCGATTGATCATGTGCCCTGGCTACTTGGACAAGGGAGATCTCCGTTTGGGTGACTGGTTGGCGTGCGTGACTTTCACCTGGGAGTCTGGGGATCGAATCCCGTTTGGACCATTTTTTTATATCCGCCATAGATCTCTCTGAAGAACTCAGCATTGACGGCTTCAGCAACGCTGTGCCACTCCATGGATTTTCTCTTATTTGTTTTGCAAAAGCACCTCCTTTCATTTGTCCACCTCACCCAAAAGTACCTGAATTTCTGCTTGTGAAATAGCGCTTCCTTGATCTGCGGTCGTGATCGAAATGCTGCAAAAATGTATGTATATGGATGAGATCCACAAAGCACTTTGCATTGACTATTTATGGCAGTAAGTGGGCGTGGTGAGGGCGGAAGTGACTAAAAAGCAGCTGAGAACCTTTCTCGTTAGTCTCTGATTTATGAAGCAGGGATTGCGTGCAGCTGTGCGTACTCCATGTTTGATAGATCACAAACCTACTTGGTGTAAGTACATTTTTTTGTTGAGCTTAAGTACGGTTTTAGAAAGGATCCTAAGTAATGTCTGATAAATGAGAACCCTGGTCGGTAATGGAATAAAGGCCAATATTAGAGGATTTACAGTAAAAAAAAAAAATAATAATTTTGTTCTTGGCAAGCGTCTCATGATTTCTTACCTTGAGAATCAGAATCAGAATCAGAATCAGAAGTTTTTATTGCCATATGTGTGCCAAGTCACAACATTAGGAAATTGCTGCAGTATTTAGGTGCAGAAGGTAAGATTGAAAAAAAAATTAATTAAGAGATAAGCAAATATAAGAACTAATAAAACACTCATGATACAATTATTAATGTAAAAAGTGGCAAGAATTAGAGAAGCAGCTATCTACTCCGTGTAGGTATTTATCTGAGTGTTTGTTGAATGGTCCAAGCACAGCATTGGGTCACGTGACTGGGACCAATCAACTTGAGTGGGCTGCCCTAGGATGTTCATTCAAAAGTCCAACTGCAGAGGGGAAGAAACTATTTTTGTGGCGAGAGGTTCTGGTCCGAATGGATCTGAGCCTTCTGCCAGATGGGAGCGAGTCGAAGAGACTGTGTCCAGGGTGAGACGAGTCAGCTATTATCCGACCTGCACGCCTCAATGTCCTAGACTAGAGGTGTACAGATCTTGAATGGAGGGGAGTTTGCAGCCAATGACCTTCTCTGCAGAGCGCACAACACGCTGCAGCCTCTTCTTGTCCCTGGTGGTGGCTCCAGCGTACCACACGGTGAAGGAGGAGGTCAGGGTGGACTGGATGATAGCGGTGTAGAACTGCCTCATCGACTGTGGTGATAGGTTGAATTTCTTCAACTTCAAGAGAGGCGCTATATAACAAAATGTTTTTTGTTCTTTTCATTCAAATCTTGAAGGCTAAAGGTAAATGAAATTGAAAGTCCAATGTCTGTGAAGGACCAAACCTTTTCCCATACCCCCCCCCCCCCCCCACCCCCACAGTACTTTAGAGTTCATTTCAGGTGTTTAACCTTACAATTGCCTCGGCGCAGGAAAGTGTGGCAGGTTTCGTTTAACAATGGCAGCAAGGGAGTGAATGAAAAAAGCAATGAAAGCAAAACAGTAAAGTATAGGTGTGTGTCTGTGTGTGTGTGCGTGCATGTGTGTGTTTGAGGGAGCGGGGGGGGGGGGGGGGGGGGGCTAACAGAACTGATGTGCGTCACCTCTTCAAATGCAGACCGGCTGAAGCCTTTTCCCCTTCCTGCTCTCCGTATACCCTCTCCCTAAAGTGAGCTGTTGCATTTCCACTCTTATTAGACAATGAATTATTCGCTCCCACAGAGAGATTCAAGCTGCTGATGGGGGGAGGATTGCATTCCAGAGGTAGTTAGTGAAGTGGGAGGGATACAGAAGGTGGTTGGAAGTGAGAAGAGGTCAAGCTGTTTTGGTTTACAAAACTGAAAATCTGTGTTTCATTAAAAACACATAAAGGAAGTGGTCAAAGGTCTCCTATTGTTCCACTGTGCTCGCCAAAAATGTTTATTAAATTATGTTTATGAGTATCAGTGTGGGTGTGACGACAAGTAACACCACCTCCAAGGAAGAAGGCCCCTGGTTTAAATCCTGTGTGGACTTTTCTGTGTCGAGTTTGAATGTTTTCGCCATTCTGTGGTTTTCCTTCTACAGTCCATAAAAGTGAGGTGGAAATACATTGGCCATCTTTTAGATGCCCCTTTTTCTTGCTTTTGGCATCTCAAAACCAACTAAACACTTCAGAACGTATTTCAGCATCAGACAAAAAAAACTTGAGTAAAGAGAATTTGTTGAATAAAAAAAACAAAACTTATCCAAACCCTTTTGTTCTGTGAATAGAAAAAAAATGTTTTGCAAATGTAATACCTGGTTATAACACCCTAGCAACAACTACATTCAAGCATCTGTGAAAATTCTTCATGAATTTTTGATTTTCAGACAACCTCATCTGGGCAACTCAGCTTGGGGTGATCAGTCCCCGGCTCATGCTCCAGCCTGCGTGCTCCACTGTGGATCACCCATTTTGATCTACAACCACCTGGACAATTTCTCTGCCACTTTGCTTATTTCTTTGTTGGCTTTCCTCTCCTGCAACCTTCTAATACTAAGAAGTTTGATTAAGTGGTGCAATGGTTGTCCTGGGAATGCCCTGCAGCCAAACTCAGTGGGTTCAAGGCGAGTCTTAAGCCTGGTTTATGCTTCTCCGTCAGCTCCGCAAGGGACAGACACGCACGGATTGACGGAAGCATTTTGCTCTTTTACTTCTCCGTCTCCTGGAGAGAGTTGCAAAGCAATTGCCCAGCAGGACCACAGAAGGCGTAGCGCTGTTCTGTGGTATCCTGTCATGTATCGGTCCAAGATCGTGTGTTTATATTGTGTTTTTTGTGTATATATAAGAGACTTTTAACACGGACATATTTGTCTCTCATTCTCCCACCGCTTCATGCGCTCCCCACCTCTAAACCCACGTTTCCTGTCATTTCTGTCCACAAATAAAACACTTGCTGCGCATCTTTTCACTCCTCCAGTCACGGGAGGATGAAACGTTCATATTTTTAGAGTTTTTTCACGAGGCATTCTTCAAGCTTCTCCGTGTCTGCCGCTAGTTATCCTCGGTTCTCTTTGCAATGGCGGCGCTGTAAACAACAGCGGCGTCCTGACCAATCACAAGCTTGCGTAATCCGTTTCGTTCGACGGATGTTTAAAAAAGTGGGCTCGACTCCGTACGTACTTGCGTGCCTGCCGGATCCCTACGCAAGGACGGATAATGGCGTTGCGAGTGCTCCGCGCTGACGCAGACGGAGAAGCATAAATCAGGCTTTACACCCATTCCCTCTGCAGATATCAATGAGCTTCTGGTATTTTGCCTTTTTCCACACGTGGGCCTCCTCAATCCAGTCTTTCCAGACTTTCCAGGGAAGTGTGAACTCCATGGGTACTACCTGCTTGGACAGTCGACTTCACTGCTCTGTAGTGACTTTTTATGCCTTTCATAGACTAGTCGCTGTCACGTGATAATGACTGACAAGATGCAGTCCTCGGAAAAGACAACAGGTGACAAGCCCCTGCGCATTGGGAGGCAACGCGCTGTGCCAGAGAGTCGGCATCTGACGCCCACTGTAAAACGGGCATTTGACCGAATTGTGACCTTTACCCTCTTGCAATTTAACCCTCCCCTCACTCCCATCCTAACCTTAACCAGCTTGCGCATGCAAAGCTCTGATCGTTGACGCGCTCCAGACATCTGCATCCTGAGCACGGCCACAGTACCATTATCAAATCAGGTGTCGCCACCTCAAAAACTAATTTAACACGTGATCGTTCATGTCGGCTCATTTCCTTTTATGTTTTCTGTCCTTTATTTGTGCCTGATGCGTTTCGCTGCTGTGGAGCGGAGCGCATCACCTGTTTTGCCCTCCGGTGACGCACCTCACTGGTGCGGCCGGCATGCACTCCGCTGTTTTTGCGGTCGGTAGATCTTTTAGAACTGCAGTTCAAAGGTAACTCATAAGGTGAATATATATGAACCCAGGTAGCAGTTTTTCTTTAGGATTGAAAGGAGATGCAGGAAGATAATAAACAGACAGGACAGAAAAAAAGTCAAATAAAAACAAGTTAGTTTTTGTACCTGGTGGTTGCAACAAACAGACACCATTGAAGGTAATCATAAGTGAGGAACAGAAAATGAAATAATTATTTTAATGTTTAGAGCAGCAGGAACACTGAGAGGCTGCAGGCGCATCAGTGAGTTTGCGGCCACTGCGCAGGTGGAGCGGGGAGAGGGCTGAAGCAAGATGCAGAAACTACCGTCGTTAAAAGAGATGTGTTTAACTTAGAAAATGTGGGCGCAATTTTAAATGTCAAAAACTCCAGCGAACCAACCAACCCCCCCACCCATGCGTCAGAAAAATAAATGCTTGGTTACCCATCGTCAGTTTTAGTTGCTTTAGGTGTATGACGTCATCAACGACTAGTCGAAGTTGACTCGATTTTTCATTACTTGACAGTCGACTTAAAAAAGTTAAGTCATGCAGCCCCTACCAGGAAGCACACTTTAAAAAAAACTACACCTTTGTGTTGTCAGTCAACAGTCGGTTTCCCCTAAGGTTGATCAAGCTGTTTTAGACAAATGTGGAATGGGACTTTGTGTCTTTTTGGTCAGCAGACATTTTGACCTTGGGACTCTAGCAGGAAGGCCATTTTCGCCAAGTTTCTTATCGAAACCTGTTATTGAATCATGAATTCTGACCTTAACCTAGACCCAACAAGGCATGCAGCACTTTGGATGGTAACAACTGCCCAAGAACAAAGTAAGCGCCTTGAGCATGTACCTCTATTTCAATGCATGTTCAAAAACACAGTACATTAGCTCTAGACCAGAGGTATTCAATTCCAGGCCTGGAGGGCCAGTATCCAGTACGTTTTAGATTTGATTATATTTTATAACACCTTATTTCAATCAGCAGGTGATTAACAGTCTGTCCATGCTCGGAAGTAATCAAACCTGAATGAATTAGCGACGTTTTGTACAAAGAAATGGTCAAAAAATACCTTCAACCAGAATCCAGACTCTCATTGGAAGCTATAGGAAGCATTTAGAGGCTGTTATTTCTGCAAAAGGTGGAGCTGCTAAATATATTAATTTACAAATTCATGCAACTGCCTAATTTTGTTTAAACAATTATTGCACACTTTCTGTAAATCCTATAAAATTTGTTTCACTTCTCAGACATCACCGTCTGTGTCTCCTATACGATGCATTTAACAGATCATTTATCACAACAACCAACAATTAATACAGGAAAATCATGAAGATTAACATGATTTCAGATTTAGCCTCCGTGACACAAAATCGGAGTCCAACATTGGATGATAGTACATTATTCCATCTCTAGTCTCATGCTGCTATTATAACATTTTAAATAAAATTTTTGTGTCATTACTACATCCTTGCTGTAAGTAATTTACACCATCTTGATTCTATTCTTATTTTTCTTTCCATTTATATATATATATATATATATATATATATATATATATATATATATATATATATATATATATATATATATATTAGGGCTGCAACAACGAATCGATGAATTCGATGAAAATCGATTACTAAAAGCGTTGGCAACGAATTGCGTCATCGATTCGTTGTGTCGCACAACTCTTCCAAAAGCGCCCCCCCCCCCCAAAAAACTATAATTAGCACACGATCGTTCTTGTCTGCACATGTTCTCTATTTTCTGTCTTATTTGTGCCTGAAGCGCTCTGCTGCGGAGCTCATCACCTGTGCTGTGGTGATGTCACCTCACGCAGCATCGAAAACGCGCTCTCTGCTTTGCGGTCAGGAGATCCCTTTGATCTGCTCAAAAGTAACTGATGAGGTGAAAAAGTAAGAATCCAGGCAACAGATTTTCTGGAGAATTATGAGGAGATGCAGGAAGATGAGAGACAGACAGGACAGGAAAATAGTTAAATAAAAACAAGAAAACAAAGTAAAATGTAGGTAGATTTATCTCCACTACACGTTTTTACCAGTAAAAAACAATAAGTTATACACATGTCATAGTTATACATCTGATACAATTCAGATCACCTTCAAAACTCAGTCACACACCCAGGGCCGTTTCAAGACATTTTGGGGGCCAAGGCAAAATGTCCCCCCCCCCCCCCCTCCCCCCATAACTGGGCTCCCCAGAAGCCTCTGTGTAATTCATGCCCTCTCCAGGAGTATTAGTTATACAGTGTTTGTAAAAGCCCCTCAGACATTACTGACATGTTCTAATATATCAGATGAAAAACTAAATTATCAGACATGCTGTCTCATCAGCTTCTTTTCTAAACTTGCAAAAAGTAACAAAACCATTTGAAAGCCACTATTTGTGGATTATCTGAAAGTTTCCATGGAGTGTGTGACAACTTATTTTATCATTGATCCTATCGTCTAATCTCACAGCTGAAACAAGCATCCTTAATAATCTGTGCACAGGAAGCTTACCGATGCTGTAGTAAAACAAAAGGTATAATAATTTATTATTAATAAAACCTTGTTGCAGCACTAAAGCATAAAAATGAGATTTTGCATTAAATATGCAAAATATTTACATATGAATTGTTTTAGAGCCCTTTTA